GGATTGCTCACCTGGAGAAGAGAAGCTCTGGGGTGAGCTCACTGTGGCCTTCCAGGACCTGACAGGAACCTGCAAGAAAGAAGGAGAAACTATTTCCAGGGACCTTGAGGGACAGGAAAAGGGGAAATGGCTCCCCACTGACAGAGAGTAGGTTTAGATTGGATATTAGGAAAAAAATTCTTCCTTGTGAGGGTGGGCAGGCCCTGGCTTGGGGTGCCCAGAGCAGCTGTGGCTGCCCCTGGATCCCTGGCAGTGCCCAAGGCCAGGCTGGACAGGGCTGGGAGCAGCCTGGGACAGTGGGAGGTGTCCCTGCCATGGCAGGGGTGGAATGAGATTATATTAAAGTTCCTTCCAGCCCAAATCAGTCTGGGATTCTGTGAAGAGCAACAAATGCTCACGGTGAGGTTTGAAGTCACCCCAAGGAGGGAGCACAGGCAGGATTTTTCCTGCTCCAAAGAACCCCAGTTCTTGGAGCATCTGAAGGGAAAAGCACAGAGCTGGCTGCACTCCGAGCTGGGGACAGAGGTCCTGCAGCTGAGCCAGGCTGGAAAAGTGGTTTGTGCCTGTGAGCAGGGCTGAGAAGAGAGCAGCTGCTGCCCCGAGGCTCCCAGGGCTCTGCCCAGCAGGAATGCTGAGCTTTTCCCGGAGCCACGCGAGCACAGCCCGCCTGTCAGGTGTTTGCAGTAATGGGAAAAGGCAAACAAAGCCATTCAGGGAACAAATGAGGATAAATCCAGGCACTTCTACCTGCTCACAAACAGCCTGCCAGCTGAGGAACTGAAATGCAACCCCCTGGAGAAGCTGGAGCATCCAAGCACTGCTGAAGCTGCAGTGCAGGAGGGTGCTGGAGGGCAGAGAAGGGGTGTCAGGGGGGTCAGAGGGATGGAAGGACAGATAAACTGGGCCAGGGAGGTGCACATCGTGGAACCAGGTGGGAAACTGCATGCCCAGGCCCATGGGAATGAAGAACATCCTGGTGTCCTTCCCTGTGTGCTCCGGCTGGGACTCCAGCCTGCAGCAGACTGGGTCATAGCCAGAGCCTGACCTTTGCAGCCCCAATTAGCTGGGAGAGGAGCTGTGCAGCTAATGAGCCCGTGAAAGGATTTATCTCAGCCCCAGGCACCAGCACTGACTGTAAATTCCTGGCACAGGCAGCAGCTCCCTATCGATCCCAGCAAGGCTGAGTGCTCCCCAGCATAAAAATCACAGGGAAATGGGATTTCTCCATGAGATTTCTTTGCTGCTGCTTGGGTGCCTGTGAGACCTCCTTGTGCTCAGTGTGGCCAAAAGCCACCTGCAACAGGTGACATTGTTGTTGATAGTCAGAATTGGAGGTTGTTGATAGCCAGAAATTGTCACCCCTTGGAGGGGGGTGTGACCTGGGATGGCAGCAAACTGGTTGGGGGAAAAGAAGAGAAGGAATGGATCATGAATTCCACAGGATTCAGTGGGAATTCTGGAGAACAGGGAGGAGAGAACCTGAAGGATGCACTGGAGACCCTGGGACCAAAGGGAAGAGCTGTCGATTTTTCCTGATACAGTTTGCAGGGATTTCACTGGGAAACACTCTGGGTATCTGCCCAGTTTAACTGGTTTTCTTGAAATAACCTGGTGCCAGAACATTGCAGAAGGGTCACAGGGAGGGAAGAGGGGTCTCAGTCTCACAGCTGGGGACAGGGTGCAGAGGATCTGGGGAGCTGCAGAGGATTTAGAGCCCAGCCCCCCAAACTCAGGAGCTGGGAATTGGTTCCTGCTCTGATTCCCCCTCCTGGCAGCCAGGCGTGGTTGGTGCTGCTCAGAGCGTGGGATGAGGAGGGATAATTAGCCCTGAGCTTTCCTCTACCTGCAGGAGGCTGGAAGGAAATTCTGAGTCAGACCAAAACAACATTTAGAAAATGTAGCAGGCCCAGGCAGGATGATCAGTGGCTGGTAATGACAATTTATCTTGTCGCATCTCGGTACCTCCTGTTGTAACGTCCTCCCTGCCTGGTTTGCAGGGAAAGGGCAGCCTGTAAATCTCAGAGGCACTGGGAGATACTGTCCTTCTCACTTCACAGGCTGGAGAGGTGCCTTGAGCTGGAACCTGGCAGACAGAGGCACAATTCCACCACAGAGCACCTTTGCTGTGCTGCAGGGAATTTGTTTCCATCCTCATTCAGCCCCAGCTCCACTCCTGCCAGGGAACAACTCCCACTGCCAGCAATTCCCACTGCAACCGTTTTAAACAATCCTAGAACCCGTGATTCTCTCCAGGCTGATCATCCCCACGCTGGCACACCCAGAGGAAATTCATCTTGCACCATGGCAGGCTGCAGGAACACATAATATTTCTCCCCTTGGGAAATCCTGCAAGGGTACCAGAGAAATGGGTACTGGGAACTGGTACTGGAACTGGAACTTGAACTGGGAACTGGTACTGGAACTGGTACTGGGAGATGGTACTGGAACTGGGAACAAGGACAAACAAAGCCCTGCAACCCACCTGGGAAGCAGAGAGGATTTCTTCCTATTTTGTAGAAAGATAAAGGACATTTTTAAAAGTTCCTGGGAGCTCAGGAAGGTCCCCAAGAGAGGAATAAAGCCCAGGAGTGGCAGCTCCCCGTGCCCAGGTTTAACTGGTAAATACAGCAGGTTCGGTCAGCTCCAGGGGAGTTGTTTCCATGTTTTCCCCAGGAGATGCTGAGCCAGTCAGACAGAGGCACTGCTCTGCAGTAGCTTGAGCATCAGAGGAGAGAGGAGAGAGGTTTACAGGAGCGTGGCTTAATTCCCAGCCGCCTGTCAGCTCGGAGCACACACATGTTCAGCTCTCACAGCCCAAGTAACTGATAAGAGCTCGTTTATTAATCCCTGGTAACTCAATCTGCCCTCCCAGCCCCAAGTGCTGAGCAGAAACCATGCCCTCAGGAGCTGGAGATCAATTTAAATTTCCAGAGCCTCGGTCCCTGACTCACTCCATAGTGCCAGTGCTCCTCAGAATAAGCAGGGAGTGGATTTTCTGTCACATCCCTGATCCCAGCTCCCCTTCCAGCAGTGCTGGCTGCCACATCCTGCTGTGCTGGAGTCATGGACAGGAGCTGTGCAGGGGGACACGTCTGACCAGCTCCCACCCCTCCACCAGCACTGGGAGGGATCCTCTGGATGCTGAGATGCTGGTGTTTCCATGCAGCCCCATCCAGGGCTCCTTGTGCTCATCCCTGGTGCTCACTGCAGGAAAAGCTCCCTTGGAAGTGGCAGCTCCAAGAGTGAGCTGAGAGTCGAACCAGACTGGAGGGATGAGGAAAACAAAGTCACTGACGTGGCCCAGGTGACACAGCCACAGAGGGGTGGGAGGAAAACCGGGTTAATGACTGCCTGGTTAATGGCCCACATGCAAATCCTGATTGCTGCTCGTGCAGGGGCCTCAGAGACTCCCAGCACTCCTGGACCGGCTCCAGCCCTCCCAGTTGCACCTCTCAGGGGTCTCCTGGAGAATCAGAGCCCTGGAAGGGGAGCTGGCAGCAGCCCAGCACTGCTGACACTGCTTCAGCAGCCCCCAAACGCTGCTGACCATGAACTCTTTAATTCTGGCACTGCAGGTTCTGCTGCTCAATAAAAGCAAAAAAAAAAAAAAATTCCATTTATGAGGGAACAGTCAATAAAGTGAGACTTGCTTATCACAGCTGGTTAGGAGTGGTTGGAAACTGCACCCTCTGGAATGGTGAGGGGTCACTGTTTCAGGACAGCTGCAGTGTCCTGGAGCTGAGGTCCCTCCTGCAGGGCTGGGACAGAGACCCTGACATGCTCAAGCTCCCCAGGTTATGGCCACAAAGCTGGAAAGTGGATGTGGTCACTCTTCCCTCCTGGCCTGCTGCAGCTCCCGGGGCTCAGTGTCCCCTGCTCTGCATTCCAGCAGTGTCAGCCCATCAAGAACCTGCTCTCAGGAGCTGCTGAGCCTGGGGGTAAAACAGGACAGGGTGCTGGGGCCACCAAAACACCCTGGTGACAGCTGAGTGCTGGCACAAGAAAGAAAAAGGAGAGGACGACAGCTCAGATGAAACGTCTGCACTTTTATTGAGGCTCTGAACAGTCACAAACCCACAGCCCGTCTGCTCCCCAGCACTGCTGTGCCCTGTGGCAGTGTCACCTCAAGGCGGTCCCCTCGGGGAAGGTGACACCCTGATGCTCTCGGCACTCTGAGGCATTGACAGAAGTCTCTCCCCCAGGTCTGTAGGGAACCTCAGCTCCTGGGAGCTGCTTTGGAGGATCAGTGGAGAGTGAAATGCCCAGGCTTGAGCTGCCGCGGGTGGACAAGGTGCCTCCTGAGGATCCTCTGGAACAAATTCCTCCTGGCTGTCACCACGGGGAGCTCCAGGGAGCTGCTCCGCGGGCAGTTCGTGCCCAGGAGCCTCCTGTCCCTCCTCCCTGCCTCTCGGCTTTCCAGAGCCTCTGTTGTTCGGATGTCTCTGGCACATCTGGGCAGGGGAAGCCCTGCTGGGGTCGGGCTGCTTCCATCGTCCTTGTGACCGCTGGCACGGGGACTTGCCTGCTTGCGGTCCCTCTGGCTTCCTCCCATCCCGGAGTCTTCCTCAGCAGCAGGAATCCCGGGGTGTCTGCAGCAGGGACCCCGGGGGTGGCCTGAGCCCGAGTGAAAAAACGCCTCCTCGCTGGTGACCTGCGGGCTCCGCCCCAGGGTGACAAAGCCGTACGGGGTGGTGACCTTGGGGAGGTGCGGCAGGGACAGAGCTGCCCAAGCCGTGGGGTCTGGGTTGGAGCTGGGTGAGTTCCAGGAGGGTGAGTTAGAGCCGTGCTCGTCCCGCGCTGCTGGGTCCCAGCTGCTCCTCCAAGCCGTCCCCTTGCCTGAGCATCTCCGCTCCTTGTGGATGCCCAGGGGCGGGATAACAAACTGCGGGATGCGGTCGGGGGTCACCACGTGGAAGAAGATGCCTCTGGAGCCGCTGCCCTGGAGCGCGGGGGGACAGAGGGTGGCCATGGTGGCCCCGAGGGCTGGCTGGGCAGCGCTGGCCATTTATGCTCCGCGGCCACCCCCGGCTGGTGACGCGCGGTGACGGCAGCGCCAGGTCCCCGCCAAGGTCCAGCGGCCGCCGGGACACGGGGCAGGCAGATGGATGGATGGATGGATGGATGAATGGATGGATGGAGGGGACAGGTGAGGACACGGCGCTGCCGCTGTCACGCAGGGCCACCGGCTGTGTCACCCACGAGGCGCAGGAGCGGGATGAGTCACCAGCCGTGGGCACCAGGTGGAAGGGGCAGCCGGGAGCGGCAGACAAACACTTCAGCTCTGTCTAGCAAAGCTCCCGTCGGGAAACGCTCCGGCCCACGCCATCCCCGCAGCCAGCGGCGGCTCCAGCCACCGCAGCTCCCTCCTCCACCCCGGGCCGGCTCCTTCCCGCAGCATCCCTGCGCTCCCATCCCGCTGGGCTGGCACCGAGGGGGTGCGGATGCCGTGGGACACAGAGAGAAAAACGGCAAGCTTTTCTCACAGCGGCTTGTGAGAACTTTCAGGGAGTTGTAAGGACGTGATAACTTGTTAGTTAAACAATCTGCTGGTGGTTTTTTTCTACTTCATCTTTCTGTTCTTCTCAAGGACGGCGAGTGAGGAAGGTGTTTTGTTAACTAGCCAGTCAAATAGAATGTATCGTAGCACTCGATAAAAACCGTGTGGTTCTCTTGAATAAAGCCTTTGTTCTTCCTACAGTCCTGCCTCTCACCTGGTCCTGCGTCATTCCTGGTGCAAGAGTGACAAGAAGGGACAGCCTCAGGCAGTGGGGAAGAGGCTCTGTGCCTCCCGCAGGAGGGAGGATGAGGAGGATGAAGCTGCTCTTTAAGCTCTGCCTTTCCCCCTGTGCAGCAGGGCTGGGAGGGGTTTCCTGGCACTCTCAGGGGGATAACCGTGGCTTTAGGGTGGCTCTTGCTGGGAAGATGATGCAGACAGGAACACCAGCTCCATCTCTGTGCCGGCACGGAGCAAGGGGGATAAAGAGGGGCCTCCCCTCACCTGGGAGCAGTTTCTCCCTCCCCTGGGGGCTCAGCAGGGCACGTTCTGGCATCTCATCACCTTCAGCTCTTTGCACCCGCACAGAGCAAGGGGAGAGATCTCAAATCAGAGCCTTGGCAAGCTCCAGGAGACCTCAAACGGAGAGAAAATGAGCCCCTAACCGAGAGCCCTTAATTATCCCAGTGCTGATAGCAGGGGAGCCCCCAGCTGAGGGCCCTGGGCTGCCCCACCAATTAGCAGAGCCAGCAGCTCATCAGGGTGACGAGGAGCAGATGGGGCAGGGCCTATAAGTGCCCTGAAGGCCACAGGGGGGTTAAGCCAGGTTTGTTTCCAGTCTCGGCTCTAGGGAGCAGCCCCCAAAGCAGGTCTGGCCACTGCCCGACGGGTGGCTTGTGCTGGGGGCACTCTCAGAGCTGGGCTGGAGTCTCTGACAGTTCTCTTTCTCCCTGTCCAGATGAGGCCACCCACCAGCAGTGATTCCTTCTCCAGCAGGCTCCTGGGCCAGATCCTTCAGCTCAGCTTGGTCAAGTACCCGGTGAGTGGGGCTGGGCCTGGGGAGGGGGTGGCTGAAACCTCAACACTGGCAGGTTCTGGGGGTTTTCTGCCAGGTAATTTATTTCAGTCTTTCTGTGTTATTAGACATTGGGAAGGAATTCCTCCCTGTGAGGGTGGGCAGGCCCTGGCCCAGGGTGCTCAGAGCAGCTGTGGCTGCCCCTGGATCCCTGGCAGTGCCCAGGTTGGATGGGGTTTGGAGCAGCCTGGGACAGTGGAAGGTGTCCCTGCCCAAGATAAGGTGTGGAATAGGTGGTCCTTAAGGCCCCTTCCAGCCCAAATAATTCCATGGTTTTTCCTCTGCCTTCCTCCCTATCTCAACTTTTTGTCCTTAACCTTGCCTTGCTCCCCTTCAGCTTTTGGTGGCTTCAGCATTCCCATTTCTCTCCCTCTCTGGGCCAGAAGAAATGTGAGGGTTTTGGTAATAAAGTACAGCCCAACAGGTTCTGGCTGAAGTTGGTCCCAGTTTTAGGGGAAAGCAGAGTTTAAGGCTATCCCTGAGGGCTCTAAACACCTGGAAGTTCTCCCATGTGCTGATGGAGCTGTCTTTGCAGCTGAAGCTCCTTCAGAAAGCCTCTGGCTGGATTGGATTGGTGCTCCCTGTCGAGACCATCAGGAGCAGGCTCTGTCCCTCATCCCAGTCCTCCTCCAGGCCTGGGCTCCTGGCCAGGAAGCGCCGGGGGAAGCTCCTGCGCCTGCTGCTCTCCCTGACTCCCACCAGGGTCCAGACCTTCCTGGGCTACCTCCCAACCGACTGGGGCCACAGCAACATGTCCAAGGGTAAGAGCTGGGGCCTCCTGGAACGCCTGGAGGCTCTGCAGCTGGGAGGAGCACAGTATGGCATTCCTGCAGGGAATGCAGGAATGAAACCTGCTGCATTTGTTCTGGTGTGTGATTGTGCCTCCTGTGAATCCCTGCAGAGATCCAGGAGGCTCCCATCAACCCAGCCAGCAAAGCCAGCAAGAGGAAGAGGGATGATGTGGCTCTGGAGCAGCAGGAGTCCTGGTTTGTGATGCTGGAGAGGGATTTGCCAGAGGATGACTCTGAAGACCCCACGTATGAGGTGAGATGTTGTGCCTGCTGAGCAATTCCAAGATGGTTTGGCCTCTGTGTGGGTTCCTGTGGAGGAGCCTGTAGAGGTTTCCTTCCCTGTCCCTTCTTTGAGGGCACAGGGTGCCCAAGGAGCACTTGACCATCAGCCCAGCACTGTCTGGGAGCTGGAGGTGCCCCACTCATCCCTGAGGTTTCCCTTTGGTCAATGTCCCTGCAAGGCAGCACCCCTGTCATGCTTGGCTGTGGCTCCCAGTGCTGTTGGGACAGGACTGGAGTGTCCTTCCCCACGCTGTCCCTTCCTCAGAGCCTCCCTTTGCCTCTTTCCCCCCAGCCCTCTGAGCTGGAGTCGGACACTGACGAGTACCACTCCCAAAATGACACAGACCTGGAGCTGGAGGAGCAGGGTGGGGTCACTGTGCTGGAGCTCGCAGCTGTCCAGGTGAGTGTTCCTGCTCCAGTCCTGGGGACAGCATCAATCCCGGGCTGCCAGGATTCCCCTCAGCCCCTGGCTGCAGGAGTAGGCAGCCTGGGCTTGCTCTGATCTCAAGTCCATTAATCCCACTAGATTTTGTGCTGCTCTGACCATGTCCCTGTGCCACACACCCCCCAGGGCTCCATGTTGCCCCCAGAGCTGGGAGCAGAGGATCCAGCTGTGCCCAGCAGTGGGGGAGATGCTCCAGATGTGACCAATGATGATGCCCAGAAGCCACAAGGGGATGAGAGCAGTGAGCAGGAGACTGACACAGCCTGTGACACCAGCTCGTCCCAGGATGGGGTAAGGACCCTTGGGACAATCCCACCCTCTGAGTGTGGTTCAGGGGAAGTCCCCAGGCTCTGAGCCTTTGTCCCAGAGCTCTGCTGCCAAGGGAAGGGGTTGGAGGGGCTCCAGTCCCTGTGCAGGGACACAGCCTGAGTCCCCAGGTGTTGGTGGGATGGTGCTGGGTGTGCCCAGTCACCAGTGTGTGACAGCAGTGCCACATGCCAACTTCTGGCACCTCTGTCCCAGGGTTGCCACAAGCCTTTTGTGACTCCTTGCCCCGGGTATTTTGCAGCAGAAAATAGGGAGAATTTGTGGGAGTTCTTCACCACAAGCAGCTTCCCCCTCACTGCTCTGGTCCCAAAACACTGCTGGCTGCCCTCCTCCTTCCCAGGAAGCTGCTGCTGCCATGGGAAGTGGAGGGTGGAGTGTTGCTTTGTCCCCAGTGTCAGTGAGGGCAGGCAGTCCTATGGGGAAAATCTCCTGTTTTCCAGGAAAACTAGGAAGCCTGACTTGTGCACCTGGACCTCCTGGGGCTGCAGAGTGCCTGACTCCCTGGGACAGCTGTGTCCCTGAGGAAGATGTCCAGTTAAATGCTGTGTTCATGTTGTTTGTGTCCTTTTTCTGAAGCTTATAATAAAATTGCCCTATTTTTTCACATGAACTGGGCTCTCTCGGCTGTCAGTACCTGGAGCTGGCATTATGGGGTGTGGGGCTTTCCAGGGGGACCTTTCCCTCTCCTCCCTCCTGGGAAGAAGGGGTTCCTCAGGGTGCCTGGGAAGGGGAGTGACTCTGGGAATGCTGGAATGTGATGGGGGGGAGAAATGAAGGCTGGACAGCCCTGGGGCTTTCCATGGGGCAGCCCCTGAGCTTGGACCCCCAGTCTGCTCCTGGGCTGGCTGGTGCCTCCAGGAAATCTCCCTCTCTTCTGGCATCTCCAAGAACACTGGAATAAGCCAAGGAGTGTGACACAGAGAGGCTGTGTTTTGTTGTGAGCACTTGAGGTTTTCAGTTTCTATTTTGTCTGCTCTACCTGGGAGCTGTGCACAGAACTTCTCCCTCTCCATGGATGTCTGAGGAAATAGGGATTTTTGGGGTCTGGAAAAGCAGGCTGGAATCAAGAAGTGCCTGAATGTGACCCAGAGCTCTGGAGAGACCTGAGGTTGCCCAGTGCTGGAGCTGTTGCCTGGATCGGGTCCCAAAATCTGAGGCTGCAAAGAGCAGCAGCTCCTCCAAATGTGGGTGAGGGAACAGGAGCAGCTCAGGGCTTTGGATCCCTGCTCAGGGCATGCCTGAGGCTGTGTCTGGCACCACTGCCTGGAGCTGGCTTTGTGTGGGAATCCTCTGGGATGACAATGCTCAGAGTGCTGAAATGAACCATGTTTCTCCAGCAGGGCTGTGGGGCTGAAGGAGCTGAGCTCAGTTTGGTTTAACCAGGGTGGGCCAGGCCAGCTGAGATCTGCCTGTGACTGTGCCTGTGCTTGCCCCAAGCTTCTGAAGGAACAGAAACCCTCTGAGGGGACAGAGGAGCTGAGCTGCCCAAGGTTGTGCTTGTGTCCCAACACCTGTGGGCTGCAGGAAGGAGTGGAAGCTCAAAATCCCAGTGAGTTTCAAGGCAGGGAAGGGGAAGGGAGGGGTCCTGGCCCCAGACCCTGCTGGGATCAGGGATCTTAGTGTCAGGTTTATTAAAGGTTGTCCTGCCTGTCAAAGCAGCCCCATGGTGGCTTTTCCTGCAGGATTTCACTGATGTTTCCAAAGCCTTCTCTGACCAATGAACTATGGGAATAAATCACATAGATTCTGTTTTCTTCATGGTGGAAAAAAAAAAGGCTATTCTTTCTTCACATAACTCCTTTTCATACAGTTTTACAGACCTTGTGTGTGATTCTAATTGGTAAGTAGATTTCTTGCTAATTACATTTATTGGTTAGCAACAAGTTGTTATTCTGTATTGACTGGTCACTTAAACTCTCTGTGTGTATGTGCAGGGAAAGTTGTTTGTGGAAGACAGAAAAATAAAAACGAATGGGGTAAAAACAGTTTATACAGGTATTTTCTTCACGGTGGAAAAAAAAGGCTATTCTTTCTTCACATAACTCCTTTTCATACAGTTTTACAGACCTTGTGTGTGATTCTAATTGGTAAGTAGATTTCTTGCTAATTACATTTATTGGTTAGCAACAAGTTGTTATTCTGTATTGACTGGTCACTTAAACTCTCTGTGTGTATGTGCAGGGAAAGTTGTTTGTGGAAGACAGAAAAATAAAAACTAATGGGGTAAAAACAGTTTATACAGGTGCAAGTTGATTTTTTTTTTTATTCAGGAATAGATTTTTATGTTAATGAACTGCTCACACCAGAATTGCTTTACATGGAAACTTGCAAAATGCTAGCTTGACTTAGAAGAAATTACAGAAATGATCAGGCCAGAGCAGGCCTGATTTCATAAGGCTTTTCTTTAGAATTTTTCTGCCTTACTGCAACAGTGAATCACTTAAAGGTGGAAATTCTGGAGCTTTAAATCTATGTCTGGGTTAGGACACCTCTCCTAGAGCTGCAGCCCTTGGACTCCTCTCTGGCCCTCTAAAATTGACTTTACAGCTCTGGCCAGAGATCCAGCACTGGGTACTTGTGCCTCTGCTCCAGCAGGGCATGGCTTGGACCAGGCAGGGCTGTTTTTTCTCTCAGGTTGGTTTTGTGCACCATTTACAGTCCTGAGTGATGAAACTCAAGCATTCAAAGCTGCAGTGCCTGGTATCTGGTATTATCTGCAGCCACAATAGCTCTGCTTTCATTATTGCTGAGTAACAGCAAGAATTTTTTTTTTGTTAAAGGTTGATAAAGGAGCTGATCCTGCAGCTCCTGGATATTATTCTGGGCTCAGCATTAATTCAGGTGCTCCTTGTTTGTGTACAAGAGCTCTCCCATTCTCTGCAGCAGAAATTAATAAAACATCCTTCACAAAGCTCACTCTGGAATCTGGGCTGGCTTTTCCTCTTGCTCCTGAGCTCTAGGAGTCCTGGATGTGGGGATGAGGGGCAGACTTGGTTCCTTGCCTGGGCTGCAGAGTGATGCTGTTCTGTGGTAAGGAAGGAAACCACCCTAAATCTGCCTCTGAGTTCATCTGCAAATTAATTCTGAGCTCCCAGGCCTTGAGCTGGAAGCTTTAGGAAGAAGAGACCTCCTGAGCTGGGCCTGGAGGAAGTAAATGGCTTGGGGAAGCAGCTGCAGAGCTGTTTGATCGCAAGGTCACCCCTGAGTCCAGCCCCAGCAGGTAGTGCCTGTCTGTGAGGAGGAGGAGTGGGATGATGGCCCTTCGGTGGGTGAAGGCTCAGTCTGGAGAGGTGCCCTGTCACCCGAGGGTGGCACTGGCTGTTGGTGGCCTCAGGGGTGTCACCACTGAGCTGCTCAAAATGCTGGGTGCACGTGAGCCGTGACCCTTTCCAGAAGGATGGGACTGGTACATCCCAGAAATGCAGGTTTGGGGCTGAAAGGTTGTTTGGGGACATTTACTGGGGCTGTGCCATGGGATGGGATCTGTGCAATGCTTTGGGGACTTTTGGCCCCTCGCCAAGTCTGGGTGAAGCAGGGTAGGGATGGAGAGTCTGTCCTGCCCAATCCATGAAGTCCCTCTGAGCATCCCTTCCCTCCTTCTCCCATTTCTGTTCTTCCTTCCTGGCCTGTGGTGATTTTTGCCTGTTTTCCCCTGCAGTGTGAGGAGATGGAGCACAGGTGGTGCAGCCCCCTTGGTTTGGTGTTGGAGGGTGCCAGGAGCAGCCTGGTGGAGCAGATTCTTGAATTCTGGTTGGATGGAGATGCACTGAGCCCTCCTTGGTCTTTTCATTTCCAGGTGTGAAAAACCCCTTCACTCTCCTGTGAAAATTTTAAAATTTCAATAAAGGATAATAGGAGACAAAGACAATAAATGATGATGGGGTGCATCTTGGCACTTAGCCAAGAGCACACTGTTACCTTTGGGGATACCCCTTAAATGCCTTTTCCATCAGCCTGTTGCATATTCATAGACCCTTATGCATAGTAAACTTTCCCTAAATGAGTTTACATGTTCCAAGAACTCTTTAGTGTATCTTCTTCTTGGGTCCACCATTTAAGTGTGAGTGCATTCCTTAGTTGTGGTTTTAGTCCATTCTTATCAGCCCCAGTTTGGGCCTTGGTCCTGTTGTCTTCAGACAGTGAGTGCTGATGGTTGGCAGATCTGTACAGGTCTCCTCATCCTGTGTTCATTGGATGTTATCCTACCCAAGCAGGCATTTTAACACAAGCACACTGACATCGGCTATTTCACTAACCTTAATTAACAACAGAAATAAGAACTATATCTTTATAACAAAGTTACTTTAACATTACATATATAAAAGCCATTTTAATATTTGTGAAAAGCCAATGTTATAATATGTATCTGTAACACAGGGAAAGGCTGTGGGATGTGCCCAGCTGGTTCTCTGCTGCCCCTGGGCACAGCCCTGAATATCATCCAAGCCCAGATTTTGTGTTTCCCCCTCACCCTTTCCCTCAGCTCCTGCTGAGGAGCAATTCCCTCCCTCCGCTGTTGGAACCCAGGGCACAGGGAATGTTTCTCTTCCTGTCCTGGGAAGTCCTGACCCCCAGGAGAACTCTGCTTTTAATCTTCATCCATGGAGAAAGCTTCCAAGACTTTGGGATGAATTGGAATCTATGAGTGTGTGAAATAGATAACAATACATTTTATCACAGGCTGAAAAACTTAGAGTTTTGGGTTTTTAGTATGGGGGTAGATAGGAACAAGATGGAGGATTTGGGGCATTGTCTGAGCTTCTTTTTCTTCATCTGCTCCATTTTCTGCTGTGTTGGGAGCACAGTGATTGGTTAGAAAGAACAGCAATGCAGATGCTGTGTGGACAGACAAATAATTTTAGAAAGGTAGAAATAAAATACAATCTAAGAATGCATTTTAAATATTTAAATTTATTTTTATTTAAATTTTATTTACAATATTTAAAATAGTTTTAAAAGACCATGAATCTGCGTGTCTTGTGACTTTTTGGTGCCTTCTCTTTGTACATTGTTATATTCATGTTTTCTGAAAAATCCCTTTGTTTAGGATTTTTCTCCTGGGAAGCTAAGAAGCCTCAAAAAAAAAATAAAAGGAAAACAGATCTCATTTGTTTCTTCTGTGTTTTGTTGTTTTGGAATGTGTTTGGAGATTGTTTATCCAACAGGTGCTTGTTTCATTAATTTCTGCTGTGAGTTATTTTGATTCAATAGCCAGCCAGTGCCAAGCTCTGTCAGGACTCTAAAGAGAGTTACGAGTTTTTTATTATCTTTTTAGCATTCTGTAAGTATCCTTTCTGTATTCTTTAGTATAGTTTAGTATTCTTTAATATAATATAGTATCATATCATAATAAATTAACCTTCTAAAAACATGGACTCAAATTCATCATTCCTTTCTACCATGAGGGCACCCCACAAATACAGTGTACGCTAAGTCTGGTGTGTAGACAGTGTGCAGAACTGCTGATAAAAGAAAAATAAGCAGCAACCTGAACACAAAAAAAACCCCAAAAAATCCCATTCATCTCTCAATCCTGGCACAGAACGTTTTAGGGGTCTCCCTATCAGGGGATCCATGGGGGGGTTCCACACTGCACCT